CAATGGACTCAATAGATTAACCAGAACAACTATGACAACGTACAGAATACATGACCTGAAAGCACGTACAGAAAGGCTACCTCTTCCAAGAGCGAAGGGTGGTAGAGGAATAGTAGACATTAGACAATAGACTATATATAAACAAATAGATATTCTCACCAAATATTTCTATTCAAAAAACAGTCCCTTTCATGCGGCAATAGTTGAAGCTGATAAAAATTACCACTTAATAATCTTCATACAAGCATAACCAGAAACCAGAAATCAATAAGACCCAGGATAATAATGGTCAAGAAGGCGCTTCAAGGAAAGCATGTGGATATAGTTCAAGATGAAAGCCTAAACATAACAGCAACATATGACCGGCTGAAGAAAGGTTTGCTATTTCCTGGAACAGACGGGATTACGATTGCTATCCAGTACCAAATTATAAAACACACGGAGCTATAAGAAGTACATCTTGAGAGATCTCTCCCTTGATACAGATAAATTCCGAAAATGTAACATGTTTTCAGTGACCACAGTCCACATCATATTTGGCTGTAAACTTTAAGCTGCCATGGAATACACAGTGAGACATACCTTTAACAATGTAAGAAAATTATGACATGTATGGATCCATATTATAAAACACGCCAGATACTGTAATGGAAGACGCGACACCCAAAGTATACTGGGATAATCCTATCCTCACAGTCAACACAATTGTTGCTAATTGACCTGACATCTGCAATCGACAAAACAAAGCATGTGATCTATCTAACTGATGTGGCAGTACCAAGCGTTCTTACCACAAAAACAAAATATGAAGGAAACATCGAAAAATATATTCCTCTTGCACAAGAAATCAAAATCCTATGGAAACAAAATAAAGAGGAAACAATACCAATGATAATATCACTGACAGGTTTCTCACTTCAATCATTTATAAACAATCTGAAATATACTTGGACTGAATCCGCAGATACACCCACATACAGAAAGCAGTTTACAATAGAACTAGTTATATAAACTAGGTTTAACGCGTTCATGTGTCATAATAATGATAAAAATAGTGATAATAATAATAATAAATCGTCTTTATCTGAAGGAGAAGTTTAGAATAATACTGCCCTAACACTTAACCCAAAAAAACTGAAACATAATACAAAAAACATAAAAACATGTAATAAGTTACAACAAGTTGAAAATATAGGTGTATAAAAATATGAAGTATATAAAATATAAGTGAAGGTTATTCAAAATATCACGTTTTAAAAGTATACATTGTAACAGTTATACAAACAAAAAAATGTTATATTCATGTGAGATGACAGATAAATTCTAGCAATTGCCTTATGTGTTTCTATTCAAAATAAATTTTAAATTTGTCATATGATGGTTATTTTGTAGATGAAGCATTAACGAAACAATGAAGTCCTGTGAAGGGGCATTATTCCCGTGAATCCAATGTCCCTAGAACGAATATTGCTTCTAGGTATCAGCTTATTTTTCAAAAACGCGAAAATGGGATGAAAGCTGAAGTCTATGGGTGTAAGAAACCAAGTCTAGCTCACACAGTTTTTTTACTATCAACCATTCCTGTTTTAAAAAAGGGTTGGCCTGGTCTGAAAGCGGTTCTGCGAAATGGTATCGCCTGGCCTATCCTCCGTGCAAAATGATTGTGTATAGGTGCACTCCCTCTCTCGGCTGGCAGAATTATTTTTATGACTGCAGTATGTAAAGTCGGTACCGTGTAGAGATGTTTAGATATTTTTGCTAGCACTGCGACGTCGCCTTTTAAGTAATTATTATTGTCCACTAACTATCGACTCAAGAATTATGGTCATTGCGATATTAATCGTTTTTCTTGGCGTTGTTTTGTCAATTAAAGCAAGATGTGTGCGGTAGCGACCGCTATGTTATAAGCTAGAACAGCCATCTACTTTGCAGGGTCGTGCGGGTCCCAATCAAAAAGCAATAATGCTTTTAAATTCTACTGGTATTAAGTATTTGTTTGTTTTATGTAACAGTTTTTGATATACAATAACATTTGACACCGTGAATTATAGTTTGCCGTTGGGGACATTGGACTTACGCAAAGCTACTTAATCAATAGAAAACACTGTGTGAAAATCGGAGATCAAGTAAGTGAAGAACGTGTTATTAATTATGGTGTGCCACAGGGTACTGTTTTAGGACCTGTCCTATTCTTATTTGTCAATGATCTATTCACTTTGAACTTAAAATAACGAGTAACGCAGACGACACAGTTATTTATTTCAAGGATAAATCATGGGAATCGGTTCCAAAAACAGCAGAGTTAGACTTTGAAAATATAATCAGATTTTTTTCACTATACAATTTTAGAAAAACATTTTTCTTGCCTTTCTATAATAGCCTTAAAACTGCTCCAAATTTCTCATCTTCAATCGAAGCAAACCTATTGAATATGGACTCTTTTGGTTCTTCTTGATGACTACTCCGAGGTTATGTTGACTAAATCAGTCGATTATCATATAAAATATTAGCACGCCTATAACAACCATATGAAATTTCAGTTTTGTAGCATTAGACAATAAGTTAAAATACAGATACATTTCATATCTTCGATCACTTAAGCAAGGATACGTATAGTCACAGGTACATCTCACATGTTTACGATTTATATTGATAGAAACCTTATAAATCAATTAAGACCTTTTATGAATTCCTGTTAATAACTAGACACAAATAGTAAAAAGTAAGAAATAAATAAAAAACACATACTAGAAAATAAGCTTTTATTTAGGTAACTAAGGCCCGTATCGTCAGTCGTCCCTACAATTGTAGGGCGCGTTTATGGCCTCCTTGATTGTCATACTCTTTTCTCTCCTTCAAAAATTTCTAGATTACACTCGTCCGTGTCAGCGTCAGCGTTCTCCTATTGTTAAGATATGTTTTCCTTTTAAATTGTAGGAAATTTCAGGCTAATAAAACATGATAGAACTCAAAAGCAAGCAAATAGATGTTTGTGACATAACCTCAAAATAAAGCACTGACACGGAAAAGTAGAAAACTATGACAATCAAGGAGGCCATAAACGCGCCCTACAATTGTAGGGATGACTGACGATACGGGCCTAAAACGTTTGAAATATTTTTTCCGATTGGAAATAACATAATATACTGTCTTATACTTCTTAGCATTTAAAAGACCTCTCCGTCTCAAGTTTTCAAATAAAAGTGTGTCACCTTTGAATAGCTAGAGGAAAAAAAGGTGTAGCATGCTTTTATTAGAAAACTTGAGCCGAAGCTCCAGGTAAGAAACGCCATATTTCCAATCGGAAAAAAGTATTTCTGAATTTATACCTCTTTTTAACTTTTGTTTTTAAAAACGTATTCATATGACTGCTAGTTTTCATCCCTTTGCAGAGGTTCAATAGCTGTAGGACCAGTCATCCCATATGCAACAGTGTGCTAATTATCTTAACATGTTACCTATTTTATCTTTCATCGGGATGGATTTTCCTTTTACGGCGCAGTAAATCACAGCTAGCGCCACTCACCAGTTCCCGGCCTTTGAGATGGCGCTTGTTTTTATCTGAGGCACATTCACGAAACCGGCATTAATCGCCGCTATGTGAGCAGACCGTTGTCTGTCGGTCCGTCACGCCGTAGCAATGCAACTTTCTAAAGAGACCTCGCGACTTTAAAGCTGACATGTCCTGCTAATTACTTAATACGAAAACTGATTTGTTGTCCGTTGCTCTACACACGCACCGATCGTCATTTTAGTACCAGCCGGGATTACTCGATCACTAGTCTTTCCACTTTCTATCAAGAATCTGTTCTAGATGAGTTATTATTAGAGCATAGTAAGTAAGCAAAAATGGATTTGGAAGCTGACATTTTGCGTAAAAGGGTTGCCTTTGCCCAAAAGGGGGTAGTAAACCTCGGACACCGCACTATTGGAATAGGTAGGTGAGACCCGGGAAAAGTGCAGACCTCAATCATTCTGCAACCATTACCAGCATGCTAATGAATACAGAATTGGGAAAGATATCTGGAAGTATTATTTATCCATTCGTATTAAGAAACAATTCGTAGGTACAGTTTATCCTTTTTGACCAAATCCCGAGTAGAGTGAATTCATATCACAAATGGCTCATACAAATACACTTTATAAATACGAGTAGAAAGTACAGCCATAAACACCTTAATATTCTTCATGGCATCAATCACAGCACACATTGGTAGTTTTGCACAAATTAAGTAGTTTGCTTTGCTTTTCAGACCAGGATTTGTTGATTAGTTTTCTGATCATAAGTATTATCTTCAACCAATTTCAACAACAAATATCAAGTTACAGATAAATATAGTATCCATTTTACACTACACGCTTTGCACTTATTTTGAAGTTTTCTTGTTTTCTAACAAAACCATCGCTTTAATCCCCATCATCTAGTATCTGTACCTAAATACAATATTTTTAACTGTTCAAATTTGATTTTCACTATAACAAAAAGAACCACTTTTTCATTAGTATTTGCATAACTCGATAAAATTGAAAACCTTGGTACACTCAGGTTCAAAATAAGCATAGCAAGTAAGATGTTGGTCAAATTCGGATCGTCAAAACTTTTTTACTTTTACCTCGATCTTATTAATTTGTTCGGCATGCGGTAGGTACACTCATTGACATTGATGTGTATATGTGAGTTCTTAATTGTAGCCACGGTTTGACTTGTATACAGGGTAAATCAAAATGATATTTTATTACTCCAACTTTGAGTCACCCTGTGGTATGAATCCTGTTGCCAATCAAAACGCAATGCCTTCCACTATCAAGAACCACATTTTCTCTATAACCTATTTTTTTATTCAAGTCAATATATACAGTTGTTGGAGTTTTAGAGGCAAATGAAAACTCTAGCGAGGATTGTTCTTTTGGAACCAAATGAATGTAACCACAGTTTATAAATTTTAATCAGTATTATATACTAAGTGACATATAAATCCGAACACCCAGTTTAAATGGTTTTATTTTAATAAAATTGTGTATAAGTCCTTAATGAAGCATAATAAGTAAATGATAAAACTTTCAAAATGATTGCACTGCTTTAAAGCCCTTTGACCTTTAATAATGTGTGGATGCACCCTGATGTGATAGCATTCTCCAACGCGCCTAGGCATGCTTCTGATCAGGTGGTCAATGTCCTCCTGTGGTATCTCATTCCAGGCAACCACCAACTCCTCTCGAAGTGCTTTAAGAGTCTGAGGAGGACGTTGCAAATGGAGCAATCTCCTACCCATCATATCCCACACGTGCTCAATTGGGGATAAGTCGGGAGATTTTGGTGGCCATGGTAACAATGTGACATCATTATGTTGAAAGAAGTCTATTGTGACTCTTGAAACATGTGGTCGGGCATTATCTTGTTGGAAAGTTGGATCTGCCAGGGTGTCAAGATAGGGTAAAAGGTGGGGTTCTAGAACTTTGTGGATATAACGCTGCGCGTTCATGTTACCTCTGATGAAGATTAAAGGTGACCTGGAGCCATAAGCTATAGCACCCCAAACCATAACTCCAACAGTGTGATGAGCATGTCTTTCAACAAAAAACTGTGGATTCCTCCTTTCACCACGTCGCCTTCTAACCCTGGCACGACCATCGTGCATGCCTAAACAAAATCGAGACTCGTCACTAAAGACAATACTGTTCCATTCCTGATCCCAGAGTGACGGTTGTCTGCACCACTCAAGGCGATTACGTCGGTGTTCTCGAGTTAAAGGGAGGACCCAGTGTGGCCGGTATGAAAACAAGCCAAAACTTCTCATTCGTCGGTAAACACTTCGCATGACAATAGGTCTTCTGTGTTCTGCAAACCATTCATTTGCAATGGACCTGGTAGTAGAGAAACGGTCCCTTAAGGCCAATAATCTTAGGCGGCGATCTTCACGGTCTGTTGTTCGACGGCGGCGTCCAGTGCCCCTTGCTCTTTGCGTACGGCCTTCTCGAAGCCATGCCTGACAACACCTAACCACAGTGTCTACACTTCTTTGCACTCTAACTGCAATTGCCCGAAAAGAAAGTCCAGCTTCCCGAAGTACCACTATACGGCCCCTATCAAACTCACTAAGTTGACGAAATCGTACAGGTCTCCGTACTCTAGGCATCGTAACCGATCGTAAAGGATGTCAAGAACCAAAATCCGCCAACGTTGATTCTTTACTGCGGCTGAAATATTCATTTTTAGAGCGTTAGTGAATTAAAAAAAAGCAGTATAAAAACCGGAATGTCCAACTGATAAGGCTGAAAATTTTTTCACTTGTTACTTACAGTAAGATAAATACATTCACCGACTTTTATTAAAATAAAACCATTTAAACTGGGTGTTCGGATTTATATGTCACTTAGTATACTCTTCAGATGTGCGCCTTCTAGTCGTTCTCGAATGGAATATTCCTCCTTGATAAGATTTCCTTCATTGTATGTGAGGGAGCGTTATTTATGCATATTTTGTATTATACAGAGCGGCTCATTTTCAAACTGCATATTGAAGGTGATGGATAACCAACATGTAACATACATATTTAGATAAACGCAACCAGAAGAGGACAATATGATATACCGCTGTCCTATGTCCTTCCTGGGGTGTTTTGGATCTCGCAGTGGCAAAGCAAGTGTGTTTCTGTTCGATAAACCGACTGATCCACATTCTCTAGGATGACAGTACTTTGCATGCAGGCAGTCAGAATGTCAAACCGAGCTGAGGAGAGTTGGGAAAAAGGAGATACAATTGTGAGTCCCTGATAACTGTATTATTCAAAAAATATGTTTATACCTAAAAGAGCACACGATGAGCTTCAATAAATCAAGCAACCACGGCAGGGCACACGTGACCTTGGTGGGTATGCCTAAAGTAAAATAATCTTCTACTAATGATTGCCCACTAATTGAAAAGGTTGTAAGAATATGTCTATGTAATGGTCTTCTCATAAATTCTATGTAAATGGGAGAATTCGTTTTGCCCGTGGTGTTTTTTTCTTCGGACTTTCCCTTCGCATATAATAAATTTTTCTCTGAAACAGCTTCTAAATCATATAATCAGCTTAGATCAACTTCACCTCATTCAATCTATAGATAAGGGTAAATTCGTTCAAAGTTAGTCTAACGTTTGATTATTGTTTCAAAAGAAACAAGGTGCAATAAGCTACTGGAAATAATCGTGAGATCAAGAATGCAAATAAAAGGAATCACAACGAAAAATCTGATAAAACAAATGAGATGATTATCTTTTGCCCATAGTTAAACGTGACTCTATACTTGCAGGAATGCATATTTTTGCCTGATTAATGCAAAGACATTCAATGTAGTTCATTGTCCTTGCCAAACCATATATACGAGCCATTGGAGAACGTTTACCTCTATCTACTAAGTGCGGTGGTATACGTATTGAGCAAACTTATGGTTTGGTTTGATTTAGACTCTTAGCTGCCAAACGATATCACGATCACTCAGCTAGCTTTGTAATCTCCCGGTCGCCGGTAGAAACGTGATATCTTTTGGCAAAACACAGCATGTCCATTAGCCGCAGAGTTTCCGTTTTCATATACGGGCTACTTACATAATGTAAATCCATACTTATGGGTCATTTTTTTGTATGGTCGGTTCTACCTGTCATCTGGTGTGCGCAAAGCTTGATCGACTGGTACTAATTGAATATACGTTGTACCGCCTGAGTCGAATCGAAACTGTCTTTATTGTGGTGACTTTAGCACATCCCATTTGCGAGATTCTAAATAGATTTTAAGCAGAATGATTCTCTAATCATTTATGAAGCAGCAGTATTTACAACTTAAGGTAACTATTCAGTTAATCAGACCTGATAACCTGACATGAAAGTCAAAACTTGCCTTTCCGAAGACAACTACGTTTGGAATAACAAAACTGATGAGCGGTAAAACTGCAGCGTAGACAATTACTCACTATTAAATTAATAAGGAATTTAAAGTACTGTCACATGCTTTGAAACACTTGGGGCTGTCTGGATCTTCCACTATATCCACTTGCTGGCCTTTGCATGATGTAAATAAATTTACGCAGCTCGGGATGGAATCATCCAGGACAACGATACCTGAAGTCTCAATGGGATCTTGAAGCGCTCACCGTAAACTAATATCAAATCGATAACTAACATATGTTATTGCTGTAGGAATGTGCAGATTTTGGACTTTCAAATTCGATACGTCGTGCCTTTTCACATTCACGTTTGGTGCTGGACCGAGCTGACCCATTTAGATATTTTCCAACCAAATATTTTGGTATCTTAAGGTTTTGATATAGGTGTTATTAGGAAGATTTGTTTGTTACATGAACTATACGCTGTGGAGAGGAAAGGTCCATCTTTGAGGACACCCTATGTAAAAGGTCTCAATGGGTGCTACTTTAGGATTCGACTCTTATGATGAAAAGTTGCATTCCAAAAACGCTGTCCTTATTACATGCTGCTCTTAAGTAAAAAATTGCGTCAAGTAGGTTGACTCTGGCACTTGCCATGCAGCGCCGACATTAGTTCTTGAAGGATTATGTTCAGCAAAAGTTACAATTAGTCCATAGACTTTCTTCCCCCTGTCTTAGAGGTAGTCCGTCGTCCCTCCCCGATATCTAGCCCGTCAGAAGCGGCAGTAATACCAGAATACTTATCAAGACCGACAGGCCGCCGCGAGCAGAAACAGACGCGTATTAAAAATATTTTTGACAAGTCTTAAGGGCAACTGTATGGTGAAATCTATGATGCGAGGAATATGTCTTAATAGGTGCATACAACTACTGAGGTTGGGAGCGTATCAATATAATAACATCAGAAAACTACATCCTCACACTTTTTACCCCTAATTTTTCTTCAAAAATGATCAAGATCCTCTAAAATATCAAAAAACAAAGTTTGAACGATTCTTATGTGTTCCGTTTCTGACCTTTTCCGTCGCCGCCACTGGACCGATTTTCAAAAACTATACTATAATCATTTTCGTCCTTGGCATAGTAGTAATTTTGTGTGAAAATTTCATATAAATTCGAGTAGTACTTTCCAAGTTATAGAGCGGGGCAAGAATTAGCGGACAGACCGACGGAAACGAGTGCCATGGTTTTTCGTGACGTAAATGTGATCTAAGATCCAAAAAACGTAATATCTCATTTTCGAGTCTTCTCATTATTACAATACGTAAAAAACAGAAAAATAATGTTTAAAGGTTTTACATTGTTCGTGACTCGGGAAAGCGCCTTAAAGATGTATCGATCCAGGAGGATAGACTTCAGATGTTCATTCCGATCCAACCTTTCCATCACCAGATGACAAATATTTTTTTTATAAGCGCTGATATATGATATATGAATGTCATATAAACATTCGGGAAATGAAGTGAGGGTGGCCTACTTAGTGCGGAGACCATTGATACTACATCACGAGAGCTTACTGTGAATATTCTACAAATAATGGAAAAGGTCATTAGGTTTGACGACTGTTTACGTATAACCACAAAATGTTCCACATTTCGCCAGCTGACTGGAGTCGCAAAGACCGTCGGGGTTACTGTCCTTTGCAGTACGATAGGCTACAGTGTTTTTGAATTTCAAACTTTGCTTTGCTATGAATACTTGACCACGTTAGTCGTTCTATTCGTAGTAAAATATGTAAAGGGTTGTTTTTTTTTTAAGTTGGTATCATTTTGACAGATATATTGTGTCACACTTTCGCTGTGAGCAATGGATCGTTTTAATCTTGAACAAAGGTGGGAAATATTGAAAAACTATTTGCAAAGTGAGTGCTGTGTTGCAGAAACTTTGTGAAAATTGAGAAGACTATTTGGTCGGAATGAAGCTCCGTCTGTGACTGATATTCGCAAATTCATGAAACTGGCCTGGGATTATTTCCTTAGAAGGTGCAATTTGTGCAACAAAATGACCATACGCTTCGATACCGTTTCTCTGTATGGGCTCTAAATCAATTGAAAACGGACGTCAATTTTGGTCGCCAAATCATCTTTTCGGACGATGTTCATTTCCGTCTGGGAGGTTACGTTAACAGAGAGAGCTGTAGGACTTGGGGTTCTGAAAATCTGTATGTCGTCATGGAAAAACCAATGCATACAAAAAGAGTAAGTGTTTGGTGTGGTGGGTCACTACATTTTTCAAGATGAAGATGGTAACAGCGTGACGGTAAACATTGAACGCTATATATATGTTGAGGAGTTTTTTGTGGCCACTATTAAACGACATGCATTTGCACAATCTCTGGTGCCAGCAGGATGACGCAACATGCCACAGCAGCCGTGCAACAATCGATGTTTTACACAGTTCGGTCATCGCGTTATCAGCCGTTTTGGAGACGCTCATTTGCCAGCTCGCAGCTGTGATTGGACGCCCATGGGTTACTTTATATGGGGTACTTAAGGACCGCTGTTACACTAACGAACCTCAAAGAATTGATGTTCTTAAGGAAAATATCCGTCCAGCTATTGATGAAATAGACCCACAAACTATCGAAAATGTGCTTCAAGGTTGGGTTAAGAGGATGAACTACTGCCAGGCCAGCCGCGGCAGCCATTTAATATCAATTTAAAAACAACGGATGGCCTCCCTCTTTTAACCGTGGTCGTACCGCAATTCATATATATTTTATAAAATCGGTTACGATTTTATCATGTCGAGCTCTAAGCGCCAGAAGCCCTCTGAAGATACGTTTGTATTTAAA